TTACGACTCCCGTCGGTCGGTCTGCCTGGTCTTGTATTTCTTCTCTTGCTGATCCTCGCCCTTAAGGACGGCGATCTGTCGCCTTGCCAGTGGTAGATGAACCGTAACCCCTGCTTGTGACGAGACATGAGACGAGGCGCGACAGTTGACGAGACACAGAGACGCGAGGCAAACAGACGAGACGGGACAGCAAACGAGACGAGATAAGAGGCGGACGAGATACTAGACGAGACAACGAGACCGACGCGACGCGAGCCGAGGCAGATGAGACAAGACGAGAGGCTGAAACGTTAGCTATCAAGACGAGACGAGACAAGATAGGTTATAGTGTGAGCACAGCATGTCGCATCGTATTGCTTTTCAGTGGTGAGAGGCAGACGCGTCCTGGGCCTGTCAAACAGTACCACGCGAGAAACACGCCAAAGGTGGTGATATTTCTCAGGCACTAAGAGGAAGCATTTAACACGAGGGTCATGGTCATGACGTCCATGCATATTTCAGAGAGCAGAGATCGAGCGCTCACCGGAGCGTCTGCTGCTCGATGGCTCCTTTTTTGGAAATGACTTGGGCTCGTTTGGCGTCGAAACTACATAATGTGCCCAGTCTGAAGCCGCGCTGGCCCAGAAGCCGTATTTAATCCTCCCGGAACTGAGGGCTCCAGAAAGCAGTTTGTCGCCTCTTGAACCGTTTTTTTTTGGGGGGGGGCGTTTTCTAAACACGTCGGTGTTGTGTCGAAAGCGCGTGACCTCTTGTGAAAAAGTGTCGCGTGTAATGCCTGCCCGGGAGTGTTCAAACGCAGATCCAGGTGGGCTTGCTCGGTGCAATGTAACTCATACCTAGGATCCAAATAAGTCGCCTTGAATATTAAGGCATACAACAAATCCGCAATCGATAGGCCGCTGCCAGTCTTTTACAAATGTGACGAAAATAAGTCGCGTGCTAGTAGACATCGAAGCATGCAGCCCAAATTGATGAGGCCCCGCTTTCCTAAAAGACTACACAGCGTGACCAGACGGGTGATAGGACACGAAAACAAATTACCGGTGCAGAGACAACTGCGCAGAAGTATGACGCACTCAGCCAAGTATGACTTGTAGGCACATTCACAGTTTATATAGCCCGAGCTATGTACTCGCGTGCGACGCCCTGAAAAACAAACGCCCGTGTGAGCAGATTTTAGGTCGGTGATGTGCCGTGCTGAGATGTGCGACTGCCGGTGAGGCGAGTGACCCGTACTCGGTCAAGGCGTTACACTCGGGCCCCCCACTGTCTGCTGCGCAGCCGCATATGAAATTCACACGTCACACGTGCGTCACAGGCCATGTTCGCCTGGGACTGCTGCACGGACTGCAGAAGAACGTGTTCCCCTGTTGTGGTCCGCCTGTTCCAGGAACAGCCATAGGAGCGAGGACCTGTGGACCCGGCTGTCCCTGCATGGCGGCGAGCGTGCTGAGCTGCCGTCAGGGGCCAATTGATATGCTTTCGGGACCCGAGTCCCTCTCCCGCAGTGCTGTCTTGAGCCCGCAATATTCCTCCGAGTACTTTCTCCTGTTGACATGGGAAAAAAGGAATACCGGGCCAATTAACCGCAGCGCACTTCTCTAAAATGCAGGTACACCGGGTGTCTATCTGAAGACATCACTACTGCTTTCACGTGCATTTTGTCTACCTCACAGAATCCTTTAGGTTTATCTGCTTTTTCCATTCTAACTTCTTTATACACTGGGTCAGTCTGCAATTAATGACAGGTTATCGCGCAACAACACGTGGATTGGGGACAATGCACCAATATTCGGCAGTTTTTAAGTAAAAGGTAGCTAATCACATTCATCTGCCGGCACGGCTTGTCACCTATATACGGGAATTTTGTAAGTATGAAATCTGTTTATTTTACCTTTCCTCCGACCTTTTTGCTAGCCTGACGCATTGCTAAGCAGTGGTGCACGTGGGATTTTACAATCGGGTGGGGGGATTACAAGTCACAAATGAGCAGTTAGCGTGCCGCAGGCTGGTTAAAAACAATCCTTGACATAAAACTCGAAGATAATTCTCTGGAATCCGGGAGAAATCGGGTCTTGAGCGAAGGGTTAGGTCATCCTCGCCGGCTGAGCTCCCGTACTTATTTGAAAAGTGACACACCTTGGTTGCAGTTGTATTCCGAACTGAATACAGCGGTGCACGTGTCTGTGGCCATGGGGGCCGATCACATGTCCTGAGCCGTGCTGCCGGCGCCGCGATACACGACACCGGGGGCGTTAATGGCCGGCCATAACGGCCGATGTTTTGAGCGCCATCAGTGGAACGGGAGCCGGCGGCCGGATGGTGTGTTGCCCACCGCTGGGATGACACCCGCCCGGCTGCGGGCCAAACAAACGGCGCCCGTCCCCCGCTGCGCCCCGGGACGGTGTTTATATACAGGAGGGCAGGTGGGGCGAGCTGTGCGGGGAAATGGTAGAGGGGGGGGGGACGCCGGTCCACGGGCAGCGCCCAGTGATCTGCCGGGTTCATGCGGGTGGCGGACGATTACCGGCGCTGGCGATGTGCAAGTAAATAGCCGACGTTTAGAGGACGGGCGCCAGCTGTCAAACAGCTGACGAGCGACGTCTGAGCGGGGGTGACGCGGCGAAAGCCTGCCGGGCCAGGCAAACGACGCGATCTGCGACAGCGCGCTGTTGCCACTGGCGTCGCCGCGGTGGGGCGCGGTGTGTCGGCCGGCCGCCTCGCCGCTGTGATGCAATGCAGCAGCGGTAAATGATTGTCGGCTGGGGCGAATGGGAGGCGACTCCAGCAGCCGGCCGGCGGCTCTGTGACCGACTTTCATGAAAGCACATGTGGCCGGCTTTCCGCCAGCCGTGGGGTGGCTTTCAGTCGGAGTCACTGACCTCACTCGCTTCGCGGACCGGCGCCAATGGAGATGGCACAGGAGCCGCGGTTGCCTTTGCACCGCGCCGGCACCAGGCTGGCGCCAAAATAACAAGCCGCAGAAGTGGTGGTGTTTCGGTCGTGATTTTGCGGCGGTTTTTGTGACGATGTAGAATGGGCATGCTACCCGCAGGGAGACTTGTATGCGGCTGGTTCCTTGTGCCTGTGTAGAAGCGTGGTCCCACAAGTCATGCTGACCTTACTCCCTTGGCGTTTCGACCCCAGCTGGTTGGGTATACAGCTGACATTCCACCAGGATAACGTCCTCATTTACGTGGATCCTGCATGCGGCCGTCCGGCAGCACGCCGCCAGGATAAGTCTACACAGACGATCTCGCACGCGGCGGCTCCTGCACACTGCTCTTTGGCAGCTGACGACCTGGACTTGGCCGCGGGCCTCGGGCGTCGGGCGGATGAGCCTGGCGATCTTGACGTGCTGCCCCGGCGATGTGGCGATATGTCCGGCACGCTCCGGTCTCCTGAAGCGTGACCACGGCCCGCCGCCTGCCCCGCTCGAGTCGTGCGCAGCTGGGGGTGGATGCCCGGCAACCGGTGGGCCGGGCTGTGGTCGTGTGTCGGTCCGTCTGCACCCCGGCACGCGGCGACGGCTCGACGCGAAGGACGTGCGATTTCCCTCGCAGTGCCCGGGCCTCCGGCGGCTTCAGCTTGGCGAGCTGGGCTGGGTTATGTGAAAGCTCTCGACAAACACGGGCGGGTGCAGGGCGCAGCTCCAGAGCTTGGGCGTGCAGACCACTAGTTTCCCCGATGGAGGCGTTGGCCGCCATTTGAATCGGCTCACTTTTCCATGTGGAAAGCGACTTCATAACTTAGATGGTACTTGTAGTTTGAGTCGTGCAACGAGGCGGTTGTTGCCGCCGTGGCCGAAGGGTGTTTATGTCTGCTTGCCGCCGTCAGGAGTGCTCGGTGCAAGCTTGAGCTTGTCTCGAGCATCACTCATTGAGCGGCTGATCGGGACCATGTGGTGTTGCGGATTCCTGATGCAGCTGTAGTTGGCCACAATCGGCAGAGTTGTCGGTTGTTGCCGTCCCGCCGTGCGGAGGGGCGTGACCAACCTCGCCCTGTAATACAGATTAGACAGTGACCAGCACTGCTTAGACGCGCTTGCTAGGTCGCGATCCACCATCAGCGGTACTTGTGCCGCGAAAGCGTGGCCACTGTAATGAGATGTCTTGCTCACTGTGTGATCGGTGCTCGTTTCTGTCGGAGGACGAACGATACTCGGGGGGGGGGGGGAGGGGAGGAGCTCGGGTGGCGCCGCTGTGCTGGCGCTGCGCCGGTCCCGAATGCGGCCGGGGACTCCGGGCGACGCTGAGCACGCTGCCACCGAGCCTAGGCCCAGCCTTGTCGGACCTGTTCCGATCCCGACCGGTTCTTCTGGCCCACTTGACGGTCTTGCTCCGTGTTCGGCGCGCGTGCTCACGCATGCCTTGTTGCTGCTGTCTTGCCCCCGCACGAATACTCCGCGCATGCCTGGGTGCGTTCGGTGTGTCTCTGCTTGCGGTGAGGTCGGCAGGGCTACAGCTGGCATCGCCGGATGCGTGCATGTGTCCCGTCTCACCGGCGCGGCGCGGCGCGACGATGCGGCTGGATCTGGCTGTGTGCTGATCCGAACCGGCGGCTGGGTCTGCCTGTGTGCTGAAATGGACATTTTTGCAGTTACTAGCCTGCTAATTTCGTCGTTAATCTCCGTGTGCCCCCCATAAATCGACCACGCCACGTGAAATTTGCCTAATGCTGTGATCTTGGTTAAGTCTTTTTTGAGTGTTACACTTCCTCAGTTAAGGGTAAACAGGCTGTTACGAGTGTGTGTTGATAAAGGTCAAGTTGGATAGCAAATTATTACAGTTTGCAGAAGTGTTACTGCTCGACAATGTCATTGGTCAAATCGGCCACTGTGCAGTGCGCGTTGGCCGTTTGAAATAGACCAGAATTATTTGCGCTCTGGCGAAGATACGCTAGCGAGCACCAGCTTGCCCGACGCCCTGAACCACGCTCTGTTGGCGCCCGCCGTCGCACCACCCCTGCCTCCGTCCGTGACCCGTGACCCGCGACCCCAGGGAGCTGACCCGGCGACCGCACCTGGCCGGCACGCCCGAGAACGACCGGCTGGCCGCGTACGTGGCCGACACATGGCGTGACCAGGGCCTGGACAAGGTGGAGGTGTTGCCGTACGAAGTGCTGCTCTCATACCCGGACGAGCAGAAGGCTAACCTGGTGAGCCCCCCCCCCCCCCCCCCGTCCTGCCATCGCCGCTTGGTATACACGACTCGCACCGATGGGCGAGCGGGTGGTGTGCGGGTTTTCCCCGCGCGTCGTCCCGGTGACCTTGGCCATCTCCCGCCTGTGTAGAGGTCAAACCACTACGTAGTCTAGTCCCCGTTATCCTCGGCAAGCCCCTCGGACCCGCGGAGCGACACTGCGGCCCTGCTCCGCCTCCTGTTCCGGCCCCTGGTCCGGCGTCCTCTCCGGCCCTTGCCGGTGAGTCTGTGTCCTTGCACGGACCCTGCGACCCTGCCCCGGCCCCTGCTCGGGTCCCTGCCGGTGAGTCCGTGTCCCCGCACGGACCCATGTGCCGTTGACCTTGACGCCGAGGCCGTGGCCGGCAGGTGCGCGTGCTGGACGGGTCGGGCAGTGCCGTGTTTACGGCCCGCCACCGGCAGCCACCAGTGCGCGCACCTGAGGAGAGCGACCCGACCGTGCCGCAGAACTTCAACGCCTACTCGGCCACCGGCAAGGTCGAGGTGCGTGCGTAGCCGAACGGTATGAAGCGGCTAGCCGTGGACCGATGTGTCTGGGGTTCGGTTCTCACCACTGGCAGCTTTTGCTGTCCCGGATTTCTTCCACGAGTGGTGACGTTAGTGATCTAAGCAGTTGCATGTAAACATGAGGCCCAAGCTCGCTACGTTTGACGCCAGCACGTTCTGCCGTCTCGTTCTGCCGCTGTGACGGCTGGATAAGTTGCCATTCTGCGGCCACATGTCCATAGGGCCAGGCCAACTGGTCTCCTCAGCCTTCGTGCGCGCTGTTGCTTCTCCGTCAACGATTGCAATAATTGTGTCGCGTGCCTGTTTGCACTAGATGAAGACAGAAGTTCTGATACGGACCGGTTTTGATGTTATATCGACAGACAGTAATCAGCTCATTCCTTTAGGCCAAGATCGTCTATGCCAATTATGGACGTGAAGAGGATTTCCTTCTTCTGGCGTCCTTGAATATCACTGTCAAGGATTTGATCGTCATCGCAAGATACGGGAAAATATTCCGAGGAAATAAGGTACGCGTTTGAAGATATCGCTTCGCAGTGGCGAAGGCTTTTGTTTTTAAATGTTATCTAAATGTTAACCACTGAGGGCGGGATAAGAACTGGCGCCCATTTGGGAGAGGAGGGTGCGCAGTCATGCGCTGCTAGATCACTGGGTGACGTGATATTAGTTGAAAATTATGCCGCATTTAAGCCTACAACCATCTAAATCTCATTACGTCGTGTATTGAAATGCATGTGTGAGCTTTTAAATGTCGAAGTCTCCGTGGGATTGCCGACATTATTGTTGCGATGATAAGCTTTCTTAATATTTAACCTATTGCAATTTTTAAATACTGACATTGAAGCAAGACAACAACAAAAAGAGTGGAGACGCTTTCTGCTTGGCCCAATTTCCATGCCAGTGCTTGGGTAACTTGGTCATTTATATTGCTTAAGATCTAGTCTTAACATTTTGACCGAACGAATTTCCTGGATCAACACCCACTCTAAGCATCCTTGTGGTTTGAGCCCTGACCAAGGTATCTACATGGTAAAATTTCGGGCCAACGGAAGAACTTTATGGAAAAAGCTGAACGTTCCGCGATGCTGAGCACGGTCCGCCCTACCATCTGACGTCACCTGACCTTAAGCGCGACCGCTGCTAGCGGCCGCGGGCCATCCCAGTCAGGGGCAAAAAGCAAGTGCCTTAAGCGAGTACAGCCCATCCGATCATGGGCGGTGAATTAGAATGCAGGCGCCGTAACCAACTGAACTATCGGGCCGGACAAACGATTGATATGGCCGCACAAGAAAAATACAGCGTCTTGCTTGAAAATGATGTTTTGATTATGATGATAACTGAAACCAGGCATTTCTAAAACATGAATTAAAGAATAGTAGCTGAACGAGATCATTGTTAATGGACTGATTTACTAATGGCCAGAAGGCGAAAGCTTGTTTCCATTCTGACTTGTCTTATTTTGCGGTAAACATACAATAATTGGTATGCCAAAGATCATTCTTTATCGTCAGTTTAGAGCTCTTGTGCTGACAATGCAGACAGTATACCAGTACATATTTGTCGAGTAATTGTATCAAGAAGACATTTGTTATCTGTTCAAAACTTATCTTGGAGTTTTGACAATGTAGCCAGCATTTGCTAAATATCGTCGTTCAACCTGTGCCTCCTGGTACAGTGAAGGTCGCTTTTGTCCTCGGAAAGACGGTTTTCTTGTCATGCTGAAAAACAAGAACCCCATGTATTTCTTGCTTCTATCCATCATGTTTGCCCCCACGTTGGTTAGTTTCTTATACAAATGATCATAGTCAGCTGACTGTAACTTCAGTTTTGTTTGCAGGAAGAATGCGGCATTACTATACATTCTCAAACGGAGACCACGGTTTCCTTTCCACGCTTTGAACGTGAATTCCCATTCACTTTTTTATTTCATCAGCATTAATTCTAAGGCCGCCTCCGTGGTCTTGGGGAAAGATGCTGGACTCGTAATCCAGCGGCGCTGGGTACGAGTCCCAGAGTGGGCGCATTGTTAAACCCGACTGAAATGGAAAGGCCTGCTGGCAACTGGTCAACGAGGTTCAACCCAGACCCAAGGCGGCCGTGTCGCAGCATTGTGCGGCACGTAAAACCCTCCGCATTCCTGTCTGGCGAAAGGGCGGAGGCAAAATTAGCTGTTGAACTGGACGGCACGCTTGGATGGTGGGTTCGGGGTACACGCAACAAGCTATGCTTAGCAGGTACTCTGAATCCGAAGTCACCCACACAAACCATTCGGGATAATTTTTTTTTAATCAAAAATAATTAAAGGCATAAGTCTCATTCATGCTGCAGCCGTGGCGTATCATATCGCAGTAGATAAATCCCGTCTTTCTTTCCAATGACGTGCACTTAAATATACGTAATCCTTCTGTTGCTTTACTGGTGAATGTTGATGGTTTCCCCCTACGAAGTAAGTGTGCCAGTGCCTTGTTTTTGTGTGTGTGGGGGGGGAGGTGGCCATGGTGCACGCATTTTTCTTTGGGCACGACTCAGATTACTACATGAAAATGCCCGTGTCCACAAGAAGCTGAAAGAGCAATGACGACGATTTTTCAGCAGTTGAGGGTTCGTCAGCCACTAGTATTTCAGCTGTATATTGGCAACGGCATTGCTATCGTCGCTGGCAGACAGCCGACTTATGCGCATTGTGAGGTGCTCTACCCCCCTTTATGCAAGCTATGTGTGAACAGGTCATGGGATATGGGAGATACACCAGACGGCGATTCCATGGAGAAATAAGCTACTCTTTTGCTAAGTGAAAGACAGACGTTTTCATAGTTCGTTGATGACTGACTCGAGAACGAATTAGTTCTATTATCTTGCTTATAAAAAGGCAATGATCTGATTATTCTAGCAGCCAAACTAACAGAATCCACGAAAAGATTTTTTGTGTCGACATGTCGATATGGGCTCTATTCCACCTAAGATACTATGCTTCTGTGTTCAACTAACCAAATTCACTATGTCGAGAACACAGTTCGGTTTGCCTTTGCACAGCCCTCGACGACCCAAAGTTCACGAACAACCCCAGCCCGGCGCAAGCAAGGTCGCCACACGGCACTGTGGCACGATCCGGCTCCGACTCCTCACAGGTGATTTAAAGGCATACCGGCCTGTGTACCCGACCGCTATTCCGCACCTGGATCCGGCGGCGCCGCGGGCCGCCGCGCCACCCCGACCGCGGGCGTGTGCGCCCCGGCTGCGGTGCTGACGGCTGGTCCGGGGTGGCGACAGGTGGCGATGTGCGAGCAGCTGGGCTGCGCCGGCCTCATCTTGTACAGCGACCCGGCCGACTCAGCGCCGGACGGCCTGGGCACCGTCTACCCGGACACGGTGTACCTGCCGGCCGGCGGCGCCCAGCTGGGTACCATCTTCTCCGGCAGCGGCGACCCGCTCACACCGCTGTACCCGTCCATCGGTGAGGGGCCGCCCGCACCGCGGCGCCGACTCCAAGCACTGCACTGACTCATCGATACCGATCGGGATGGAGATCCTTTGGCTCCCCGGGACCGACCTGGGCGGGGATCCACTTACCTATGCGGGATTTACTGACGCCTCGATAGCGAGTATAGATTGGGTCTTATTGACGCAGGCGAAGATCCACTTATGCTCCATTACCAATACTGAAACGGACCCCTGCCGGATGGCCACGCTTGAACCGTGAGCCGTGCTTCTCCCAAACCCCGGACATATCACGTGTCTGTGGCGGTCCGTGGTGTGTCTTCTGTATCTGTGTCCGGACACGGCACACAAACGGTGGCGCGCCGGCCGTCTTCTCTCGCGCGATTCGATGTCGCGACGGAGGTGCCGTCCGCCGAGGAGCGTCTGGGTGGCCCGGCGGCGTGTGCCGGTGCGGTCCCGCTAGACTGAAGCTCCGTCGTGCTGCCCGTGTGCGCGCCGCCCCAGTGCTGCTCCCCGCCCGGCCGTCTCGCGCCCTGGACGCGCCGCCCCAGCGTTGTTCCCCGCCGGGCCGTCTCGCGCCCGGCGGGGAGCAGTCTCTCGCCGTCCTGTCCACTGCGACTGGCGGCCGTGGCTGACGCGCCGTTCGTCACCGACAGAGGGCGCGTTTCGGCTGAACGAGTCGGAAGCGACCCTGCCCCGGATTCCCGTGCAGCCAATCAGCGCCGAGGACGCCTACCAGCTGCTCCGGTGAGGCCGGCGCCAGGGTGCGGGGTTGTGCCCTCCAGTTGCCTTAAACATGCGTCTCCTATGACGTTACATGGAAACTCTGGGTTCCATAGTTCCCTTTTATTCCGATATCGCAGCGCACCGCGGTCCTTGGCTATCGCAACCATAATGCCTCCAGAGGCCGTGGCCAGACGCAGCTGTCTGTCTACTCTTGTGCTTGCTGTTTATTCTCGGCTTAGTGTTCTGGCTTTTGGGCGATGTGTTTTCTTCAACGATGCACATCGGGCTGTTTTCAGCCATTGGCGCCTGCAGGGAGAGACAAGAGTCCCCCACCGTCCCCCTCCTGGGCCCGTGGACGGCTAGTCCATGTGATAGAGCCAGCTGGTGTGCTGCTGTGGTCCGACTTGTGCCGTGCCGTTTGTCCGTGTCTCGTCGTGGTGCTGTGCGCCTGTGTTGGGGCGCATACGACACTGCGCGTCTGTGCGCAGGCTGATGTGACACTGTACGCCTGTGCGCAGGCTGATGTGACACTGTACGCCTGTGCGCAGGCTGATGTGACACTGTACGCCTGTGCGCAGGCTGATATGACACTGTGCTGTGCGTCTGTGCGCAGGCTGACGTGACACTGTGCGTCTGTGCGCAGGCTGATGTGACACTGTACGCCTGTGCGCAGGCTAATATGACACTGTGCGTCTGTGCGCAGGCCGACGTGACACTGTGCGCCTGTGCGCAGGCTGACGTGACACTGTACGCCTGCGCGCAGTCTGATGTGACACTGTATGTCTGTGCGCAGGCTGATGTGACACTGTACGCCTGTGCGCAGGCTAATATGACACTGTGCGTCTGTGCGCAGGCCGACGTGACACTGTGCGCCTGTGCGCAGGCTGACGTGACATTGTATACCCGTGCGCAGGCTAACGTGACACTGTTACGCCTGTGCGCAGGCTGATGTGACACTGTACGTCTGTGCGCAGGCTGACGTGACACTGTGCGCCGGTGCGCAGGCTGACGTGACACCATGCGCCTGTGTGCAGGCTGACGTGACACTGTGCGCCTGTGCGCAGGCTGATGCCGCCGACAGCAGCGGCGCCGGCCGACTGGGTGGGCGGCCTGAACCTGACCTACGGCCTGGGCCCTGGCCCGGCGCGGCCCGACTGGACGGTCCAGCTTGACATCCACACACACAACCGACGTGCCAACGCCACCAACGTCATCGCCACGCTGCGCGGCTACGAGGAACCCGGTGGGTGGTGGTCAGGCGTACCAGCGCGACCCCGGCCCGACCGCGGCGGCGGGCAATGGCATTTGTCGTGGAAAGCTCAGTCCTTTTGTAAGCGGCGGCTTAGGACCTGTGGCATGTCAGACCGATGCCCGGGAGGACGGAAGTAGACAGGACGCGTCGCCTCTGCTGGAGTGTTTTGTGGACACTTCCACCGGCTGTGCACAGTCGTGTGTTGTCTGGGGCCGTGGTGGGGTGGACTGACTGGCTGGCTGGACGGTTGGGGAGGCGCGGGGCGGCCCCTGTAGCGTGTCTCTCCAGTCCTTGTAGAGCCCAGTAGCGTGACTCCCGTGGGTTATGTACATTGACTTCCCGGTCTTTGTAGGGTGTCTCCTCGACCCATGTAGCTTGTCTCCCGGCCTCTGCCGGCCTCCGCAGCGTGTCTCCCGGCCTTTGTAGCGTGTCCCTCCCGACAGACCGGTACGTGTTGGTGGGCAACCATCGCGACGCGTGGATCTTCGGCGCCATCGACCCATCCTCCGGCACGGCCGCCATGCTGGAGCTCAGCCGCGTGCTTGCCAACCTGCGCAAGGACACGGGTGAGGGGGCTGTCCGGTGACGGAGGCAGATGAGGAGGGTCCGCCGGCAGAGTGATCGTGAAAGGCCAGCCTGTCAGCACAGATGGGAAGGTTTGATAGAGGCAAGGAAGGCCCTGAACTTATGGTTTCCGGGCATTGTGAGTTTTTGAGTTCTTATGCGGACAGTTACCGACCTCATGTGTGTGATTTTGAGCTCTCGTAGTCGTGAGCATATTTTGAAATGGTGAGTTCTGACAGTGCTGTGGGGTGACTGGGCTGGTAGAGCTAGCTGGGGACAACCTGCCTGCGGACAGACATCGAGATGAACACTGGCGTGTGCTGCAGCGGCGACGGCGATCGGTCGACGTCTGACGCTGGGGACGCGACGGCCAGGGATTGCTGACCCGGTCGGGCACCGTGTGCGCGCACGCCTGGTCGCGACCGGCGGCCGGGCGGTGACGTGCGGGACGGCCTCCCCGAGCTCCGCTCCTCCCTCCCCCCCCCCCCCCCTCTCTCCGGGAGCGCACGCCTGGTCGCGACCGGCGGCCGGGCGGTGACGTGCGGGACGGCCTCCCCGAGCTCCGCTCCTCCCTCCCCCCCCCCCTCTCTCTCTCCGGGAGCGCACGTCGCTGGCAGAGCCAGCCGCCGGCGCCGGTCGCTCCCAGGCGACTCCTGGGAGCCGCTCCCGGGCGCGGCCCCCTGACGCCCGGCCGTCCGCAGGCTGGCGGCCGCGCCGCTCCATTGTCTTCTGCAGCTGGGGCGCCGAGGAGTACGGCCTGGTGGGCTCCGTTGAGTGGGTGCAGCACCGGCGCCAGCAGCTGGCCGCGCGCGCCATCGCCTACCTCAACGTCGACCTCACGATAAACGGTAGGCGGCGGGCCGGCCTGTCGGTCGGCGGCGGCTGTGACTGTCCCCGCTGGCATACGTAGCCTCGGACGCTGCCCACAGAGAGCTGACATAGCACGTAGCGTCAGAAGCGTGCATTGCTCATCAGTTCATTTTGAATGCCCGTCAGTGTCGGTCGTTGTAATGGTGAAGCGGTAAGAACGGTTGTACCGTCGTGGACGGGTGTAACTGTTCGGCCAGTGCGTGGAATAGGGCTTGAGGACGTGCCTGCGCAATGCTTGAGAGTCGCACCGAGATCGGAAGCGGCATGCGCTACGAACGGCACCGGTCGTGCCGCCGGGCTCGGCCGGCCGGCAGTGCGCTGTGTTGAGCCGCCGGCCCGCCCGCGCCGCCAGGCAACGAGACGCTGCGCGCGCTGGGCGTGCCGCTGCTGCACGACCTGCTGTTCGAGTCGGCGCGCGCCGTGGCCAACCCGAACCCGGCCGAGGTGGCGGCCGGCCGGCGCACCGTCTACGACACCTGGCTGCTGCACCGGCTCGACAACGAGACCGGCCTGCCGGCGTGAGTGACGCTCCGCCCCCGGCGCTCCGGCGCTCCGGCGCTCCGGCGCTCCGGCGCTCCGGTGCCAGGTCACCACCGCTGTCGCTCACCGAGAGACCGCCATGGCGGGTCGTACGGCAGGGTGGCATGCGAGGCTCCGCGGCAGGAGCGGCAGCAGTGCCGGCGGCATGCCTGCGCTCGTGCTTTTTTTAGTGCGTTGTGCTGCTCCTTGATTTTGCACTCGTTCTGCTGGACGCCGGAATTGTGTCCGCCGTTTCGTTGGCCCGTTGCTCGTCGTGGCTCAGCAGGCGTGCGGTGTCTGTCGTTAGTGTCAACGTACCAGGCGATGGCAGCGACCACAAGGGCTTCATCCACAACGAGGGCATACCCGCCGTCGACGTGTGCTACGACGTAAGTGTCGGAGCGTGAGTAAAAGCCAACCGCGGCCCAGCCTGGACGTCGTGCCGCCGGGAGCCGACCCAGCCTCATCGCATGGCCCTGATCCCGGCCGGGGCTCTTTCTCCGGCCAGGACCTCAGCCGAGACCCAGGCCGAGACTGAGACCCAGACCCAGACCCAGACCGAAGCTGAGACCGAGATCCAGACCGGGACTGAGACCCAGACCCAGACCGAAACCGAGACCGAGATCCAGACCGAGGCCGAAACTGAGACCCAGACCCAGACCGAAGCTGAGACCTAGATTCAGACCGAGACTGAGACCCAGACCCAGACCGAAACCGAGACCGAGATCCAGACCGAGGCCGAAACTGAGACCCAGACCCAGATCGAGACCGAGACCGAGACCGAGACCGAGACCGAGACCGAGACCGAGACCGAGACCGCGACCGGGACCGGGACCGAGACCGAGACCGAGACCGAGACCGAGACCGAGGCTGAGACTGAGATCTAGACCCAGACCCAGACCCAGACCCAGACCGATACTGAGATCCAGACCCAGACCGAAATCGAGACCTAGACCGAGGTCGACACCGAAACCCAGGCCCAGACCCCGACCCCGACCCAGACCGGGCTGACGCGCTCTGGGCCTGCAGGGTGCCCCTGCCGGGCAAGGGCAGCGACTACAAACAGTTCCTGACTGTGGAGGGCATCCCCAGCACGGACCACCGGTACTATACTAAGGTGACTGGGCCGGGCGGACGCGGGGCTAGCCGGCACCCGTCGGGGGCTGTCGGCCGGCGGGCGGCGCACGTCCTCCCGCTGCATGGGCACGCCATGTGCCGGCGCGGCGTCCGACGCCGTGGTAGCGCGCCCGGCAGCGGTGTGCATCCCAGGGATCATGGGCGGAGCCTTGTTCCTCCGGCAGGGGCCTTCGACTACCATTGATTGTGCTGACGTGCTCACTGTTTGACTAAGAAATAGTAATTGCACCAAGTGTTAAAAATGACAACTTCCACCCTTGGTGGGAGCTCAGTTCAGAGAGACAGAGAGACAGACAGAGAGAGAGAGAGAGAGAGAGAGCCCCGCCCTCCGCATTGAATTTTACAAGGCTTCGCTTATGGTCCGAGTGCCTGTTTTGCCCTTAACTAACGACGCGTGCCGGGCGTCTCCCCGCCCGTTGGTCGTCCGTTTGCATGGTGCGCGAGCCACCGCAGGTGACGGTCCGTCTTGCGGTGATGCTATAGAGGGGCATCGTTACCTTTTTGCTCCAGGTGATGGGTACATTTTGATTTCGGCTTTGGTTTGCAGGTGTGATAGATAAAAACATGACGACGGTCAGAACCAGATATCTCGGTTTGGTTCTACTTGCACTAATATCGGCGTAAATTGGCTCTAGTTTTCATCGGGTCCAAAATCCCCGTTTGCATCAGCACATTCGCCTGCTTTGATCTTACGCTCACTGGTCATGGTTTGTGACTTAATGTTCTGTCCATTGTAATATCATGTGGGTTGTGGGGGTCCGTATTGTGACCGCTCATTGAGTGCAGGGTGTATTGTTTATAAAGTTTCTCGCTGTACAGACATGCAGTTGAATAGCTCCGAGGCAGTAGCAGTGTCATTCCATCCCTGTTTTCTGTCAGCCGCCCTGTCGCCGGCATAGGGCGGTGTTGCAGCAAAGCTGTGAGTGCAGTGCAGTGTCCCGGCCCCCGGACGGGAGCGGGGCAGTGTCCCGGCCCGAGCCGGACGGGAGCGGGGCAGTGTCCCGGCCCGAGCCGGACGGGAGCGGGGCAGTGTCCCGGCCCGAGCCCGACGGGAGCGGGACATTGCCCCGGCCCGAGCGGACGGGAGAGGGACATTGTCCCGGCCCGAGCGGACGGGAGCGGGGCAGTGTCCCGGCCCGAGCCGGACGGGAGCAGGACATTGTCCCGGCCCGAGCGGACGGGAGCGGGACATTGTCCCGGCCCGAGCGGACGGGAGCGGGGCAGTGTCCCGGCCCGAGCCGGACGGGAGCGGGGCAGTGTCCCGGCCCGAGCCCGACGGGAGCGGGACATTGCCCCGGCCCGAGCGGACGGGAGCGGGACATTGTCCCGGCCCGAGCGGACGGGAGAGGGACAGTGTCGCGGCCCGAGCGGACGGGAGCAGGACATTGTCGCGGCCCGAGCGGACGGGAGCGGGACAGTGTCGCGGCCCGGGCGGACGGGAGCAGGACATTGTCCCGGCCCGAGCGGACGGGAGCGGGACATTGTCTCGGCCTGAGCCGGACGGGAGTGGGGCAGTGTCCCGGTCCGAGCCGGACGGGAGCAGGACATTGTCCCGGCCCGAGCGGACGGGAGCGGGGCAGTGTCCCGGTCCGAGCCGGATGGGAGCGGGGCAGTGTCCCGGTCCGAGCCGGACGGGAGCAGGACATTGTCCCGGCCCGAGCGGACGGGAGTGGGGCAGTGTCCCGGCCCGAGCCGGATGGGAGCGGGGCAGTGTCCCTGCCCGAGCCGGACGGGAGCGAGGCGTGACGTGAACTTCGCGCCGGCGCCGGCAGGAGAAGCGCACCTACTCCATGTACCACACGCTGTACGAGACGTACTTTCTGGTGACGGAGCTGGCTGACCGCGGTCTGCACTTCACCGCCGCCGTCGCCAAGATGTGGGGCGAGATGGCCCGACGGTAAGTGGACCGGCGCGCGTCACGGGCTCCGCAGAGCGGTAGAGCACGACGGGCGATGGGCCGAGTTACGGAGGCGGCAGCTGGCGGTGTCGCACACGGCATTGTATCGTTCGCTGCTCACGTCGTGAAAGCTGGATGAGGCTGGGCTGTGCTTTCGATGGCGCGGGGGTGACGAGGTAACCTCGCTGCGAACGGCAGTCGTGAAACGGCGAAACAAACCGCCGATCCGGTCAGGCGTTGTATCCTAATGCGTTCGCGATCAGTGGGTCGGCGCTTGACGCCTGTTTTGTTCAGCCTGGCGGCGTCACGCGCCCGTCCCGAGCCGGCTGCGGCCGCCGCACGCGGGCGGGTCTCGTGAGGCTGGTCGGGACCGACCGCTCAGACGGCCGTGCTTGCAGGCTGGCTGACGACCCGGTGATTCCGTTCAACGTGGTCAACTACGCCACCTACCTGCAGAAGTCGTTCGAGACGGTGCACACCACGTTCGGCGCGCTGCTGGAGGAGAATGGCGCCTCGCTGCGTACGTACCCCGCCACCCCCACCCCGCCTCTTCCCTACCCCCAGCAGGTCTGGGTGTGGTTGGCTTGGTGGTAGTGATGGTTTGGTGCTAAGGACGCGGTGGGCTCGGTGGTAGTGGTGGATTGGCGTTAAGGGCGTGGTGGGCTCGGTGGTAGCAGTGATTTGGCGTTAAGGACATGTTGGCTTAGCGTTAATGACATGTTGGCTCGGTGTAGTGGTGGATTGGTGTTAAGGACATTGGTGGCTCGGTGGTAGTGATGGTTTGGTGCTAAGCACGCGGTGGGCTCACAGACACAGGACATGCCGCTATAGCTTTCGTGCCTAAGGCGCAGATGTCAGCAGCAGCCGAATTCTCACGAGGATAGGCATTTGTGTTTGCCGACAAAACTCGCCGTAACCGAAGCATGTCGTCTGGCGGTTGTGTTCACTGACAATGCTGCTGACCCGTTGAAACGAGGGTGCATCAGTTGTGGCGTCAAGAAGTCAGCTACGCTTGACGCGCGTTCTGACTGCAGGAATGATGAGCTGTAGATGTACAAATAAGCCGTGACCTTGTCGATAACCTCACGGGTAGAATCAGGAAGGAGTTGCGTTTTTCAGGATACGTCAAAGCCGCAATCGATGACTTCGCCGAGGCGGCGTCCCACTTCCATGACCACTTCCTGCGACTGCTGGATCTAGACAAGTGAGTAATGACCATTCTGGGTGCCTCTCCCCACTACAGGGCGGGCGTGGTGTAGCTTTAAAAAATCAGAAAACAGGCGCCAATTCTAAAAAAATATACAGTGCTGTCTGCGCTAAATTCGGCATCATTCCAGCCATAACCGAGCTTGGCTGGGTGACGGTACTAGACGCGGAAAGGCTGCAGCTGTCCGTCTCTGTGTATTTGGAGCCTAGTGGCGGTCAGCCAGCACCCTTCCGGTGTGTGATCGAGTCGGGTGTGATGGGTCGAGTTGGCCCGTACTGTGGCCTGTGCGTGCTGTCTTCGTCGTCATCTCCTTGGGAGGCGTGTCAACCAGCTGCTTCTGTGACGGATGTGGCAGCTGTGGCAGCTGTGATGGACGTGGCGGCTGTGATGGGTGTGGCGGCTGCGGCGGCTGGGACGGATGTGGCAGTTGTGACGGATGTGACGGATGTGATGGACGTGGCGGCCGTGATGGGTGTGGCGGCTGCGGTGGCCGTGACGGATGTGGCGGCCGTGGCGACTGTGGTGGCTGTGATGGACGTGGCGGCTGTGATGAGTGTGGCGGCTGCGGCGGCTGGGACGGATGTGGCATACGTGACGGATGTGACGGATGTGGCGGCTGTGGCGGCTGCGACGGGTCTCGGTGGCGGCGGCTGACGGCCGGCGCCGCTGTTGCAGTCCGCTGGCAGTGCGGCAGGCCAACGACATCCTGATGGGCGTGGAGCGGTCGTTCGTGGACCCGCACGGCCTCCCCGACCGGCCCGAATTCAAGTACGTCGCCGGCCTGTGCGCCCGGCCGACTGCGGCGACACTCGGAGCTGGGTCGGCGCCCAGTCTGGCCCGAGCGCCTCCAACCGGCCGCCCACCGCGCGGGCCGTGTGGGGCTGACTCTGGGCGCTGGCTGGTCTCGGCTACTTGTCTTTTGATGTGCTGAATGCTGATGGTTTCATTGCGCTGTTTCAAGTGGGCAATGATAGGCTTGCGACGTAAGGCGTGGGTAATGAAATGCCTCGTATTGCTTTTGCTTTTGTGAAATTGATTGCCCGCCTTTGCGTCGCATATAGCTTGGCATACTGAGTGAAATGAGATCTTTCAGCACATCGTGCTCCGGCAGCCGCTGAGCAGAGTTGGGTCATGCAGATGGACATTATATCGAATGCGTTTCCTATTGGGGGAAAGCTGAGAGGAGTCAGCTGACGCAGGTCTTGCGGTCAAAGCCTAAAAACGGCGTGCACTCACTGGCGGTTTTCACTGCTCCCACGGCGTGTGTCTGTGTCTGTGTCTGTGTCGTGTGTCTGACTCGGCCCGCTGCCTTGGCAGTCACGTGTCTGACTCCGCTACTCCCCTGGCAGTCACGTGATCTTCTCGCCGAGCTCGCTGGACGGCTACACGGGCGTGACGTTCCCGGGGCTGGTGGACCTGCTGCACGGAGTGGAGGAGCTGCCGGCCAAGGAGCGCGCCGCCCGCTGGCAGAAGATCCGGCAGCACGTGTCCGTACTGAGCTATCTGATCGGGAGCGCCGCGCACGGGCTGGCGCAGGACGTGTAGCGCCGCCCGGCCACCGGCCACCGGCGGCGCCGGTGCCGGCGCCCCACAGCAACGCCGCCGTCGTCAGGCGGCGGGTGTCTCCGCGCAGGGAAGCGCTGTGTGGAGTGGCGTGTCGCGGCCGGGGAGCAGCCGTGCATCTATCGGTCGGGAGCGGTGGCCGGCTGGTGGGAGGCAAGTGCCAGTCTCTGAGTTGGCTCCCAGGCGTGTGTCGTGTCGGTGCTGATGCGAGGGCTTTGGAGGGCCCGGCGCGTGGTTGTGGTAGGAATGGGCGTGGCGTAACGACGCCTTCTCATGCAATACGCGGTACAACTGAGGTGAGTGCCTGTCAGTCCACGATCCACTGTGATATCAAAGAGCGTGGCAGGTTGTGCAGCTGCGCGTGCGGGTCGCTGGGTATGCGCCTTTCTAGGACGGGTGATGTCGAGAAACCATCGCTTGCAACCACATATCGAGGCGGTTGAGGATCTGGAGCTGCTTTTACGAAGTGCATGTGAAAGGGCTCCTGCATTTTGTAAGGGCTTCTGATGTAACAATAACTGCGAGCGTGTCATGTTGTGGTACCGTCGGACTTCCAGCATACATACGTAAGAACCGGACGTCTGGTTCTCGTCGCCAGGTGCCTTTTCACACAATGCGCCATGCGACGTCCAACGCTACTGAATAACAGGATGACTGGCTTACGGGTGTTGAAGAGCCCGCTATTCATAGATGGCCAGGGGCATTCTCGCAAGCGTTCAAGGCGTGCGTTGATATGAAGATCTTTGCTGCAAATGTGCGCTGTGTTGTGTACCTCGCGATGTGCACGATTGTAGCCTTGATACAGTTTTATGAACTCGCGAGTCTGCTTTTTCCCGCGCGACCGCGTTTTCGTACCTAATGGAGGCGATGCCTCGGCCGTTGTGTTGCTGGTCAGTGAAGCAATTGTAACTAATTGTATGCGACTAATAAAGGGTTTTCATTTGGCATTGGGTTTCATTCCCACCGGCCCGAGGTGTAGTGCAGAACGGCGGCGGGGTTGTTCCCGGCACCTGCCGACGAGCGATGTAGTATGGGGGAAAATGTACCAGATCCCGGTATGGGAATGCTAGTGTGGCTGCGGTTATTACGTGGTGCGTTGGAAGCACGCGCATTGCTGGCTCGCAAGGCTCTCCCGTTTGTCCCGCTTATACCTTGTTTGGGGGAGAGATGCGAGCGGAATAGTTCAGGTCGGCGTGTGCTCCACTTCGGCGTGGGGGACCCGGCGGACGCTGCGGCGTCTGGACATCTAAATGGCCGCCGTCGTCGGCGTTCCCGCTCACGTACGCAGCACGGCCTTCGATGAAGAAGTTCCCGTCTCGTTCTCACGTGTTTATTGGATGGAGCATTAAGCAAAGAACGTCGACAGTGTCGGTACCATCGCCTGCGCTGCTCGTACGTGCAGCCTGAGTAGAGGATAGTCTGGTAACCTGAGGCACGGCTCCGTAACGCCAGGTATGAAGAGTGCAGTGGCCAAGAATGCAGTCAAGTGATCGAGTCTATGATTCAAAAAGAAGACGAAGAGCACTACTGGGCTCCTTGGCCTGTCCTGACAAGTATACCTCACAATCGTCGGGTACATATAACCGTGGCCGGCTGACACAGTATAGTGAAGAGGCACATTGCTACGCGTTCACGCAGATGACCCAGACAACAGGAGGAGGGGTGTCTTCGATGGAGACATCGCTTCAGCCGAGTGATAAGAGCTGCATCGTAGCTGCATCGAATGATTACATCCGTGTGCATCTCCTGTCGTCGGAGCTGCAGCCGGCAGGCGACGGCTGAGCCGGCGCGACTGGTGCGCTGTCCGGCGCTGCAGCGGTGCTACAGCCGCCCGAGCGCCGCCGCCAGCAGGAGCAGCGGCATCAGCGGCAGCGCTGCCAACAGCGAGCCGCCGGCCACGCAGACGAATGTCTGCGTGCGCTCCTCCAGCTGCTCACGCCAGCCGGCCTGGCAGTTGCACTCCCCATCCTCGCACGCGGAGAACGGCACGCGGCACTCGTGCGTCTGCTGGCATGGCTCGTGCAGGCCGTGCTGCAGCCAGCACGCGCCGCTCACGAACAGCGCGCCGTCCGTGCAGCGGCAGACGGGCTGCGCCTGGCCGGCGACGGCGCCGCACGCGGCGTGCGCACCGAACGCCGCCCGGCACTGCTCCGTGTCCACGCACGCGCCGTTCTCGTAGTCGGGCACGTCCTCGTAGCACGTGTTGTTGTAGAAGAGGGGCGCGCTCTCAGGGCAGGCGCACGTGCTGTTGGCGTCTGCGACGCTAGCGTTGCAGAAGAGCGTGTCGCTGCGCCAGCAGTCGAGGTCGCTGAGGCAGGGGTCGTCGCCGCCGCCCGGCCAACGCTGGCACACGTCGTGCGTCAGGTCCGCGAAGGGGTATGCTGGCAGCGCGCACGCGCACACGCCGCTGGCGCCGCTCAGCTGGCAGACGGAGCGGCTGCTGTATGTGTTGCAGGTGGAGTTTGCCACGCACGAGGTGTTGAGCACACCACCCAGGAGCGGCGCAGAGAGCGGCCAGCCGTCGGCCGCCGCCGCCCACGTCGTGGCCGCCGCGGACGCGCCGCCGATCGCCGCCAGGAGCAGGACACGCCACATGGTGCCTGGCAGAGGGCTTTGTCGTCAGTGAGCGCCGGCGTGGCCCGCGGGACCGGGCGCCGCCCGAGCCTGATAGCCGAGCTCGGCGCTGCTGACGACGGCCGGCGTTCTGATCGGATGACGCGGCCGGACGCGGTATCGGACGCGGCCGGCGAGCCTGTGTGCTCGACGGGCGCTTTTCTCACGCGCGCCGCCGCAGCAAAGGTCGGAACGCAGCCAGCATGGCGTCATCGGATGCCGGCGACAGGGGAACGCCAAGTGCGCGGCGTTAACCGAAGGCGTCGATCCATATTTGCGGTAAGGATTGGTGAGAGGCCACGGTGTTGTGACGCAGGAGGTCACGAAGCCAACGACACACAGCACGTCATGCATTAGTGATGGATGTGTCCTGAAACTGTTCTGCAAACTTTGCGACGATAGCTGTGTGGACAGCGGTAAAAACGCCCTGGTGATTCAACTCCGGCCGTGCTTAGTGTTTTTTCTTTGTTTTGTTTTGTTTTGTTTTTGCCTCTCGCCAGTCAAGATGATGACTTACCGGGGTGTGGCATTCGTGTACAGCGTTTCTGGCGGTATTGAGCATCTTATTCAGAGCCTCGTCCACCTCACCAAACAAGGAGTGAAACCAGACGTTACTAGATCAATATTCCATTTCATTCAAATTGTATCCCCTGGACTTGTAGATGATGCCAAGATGTTGCATGTTGCAAGCAGTGGCAACCTCAATCACGGTTCCAGCTCTACTGACTTGCGTAGTACGCGGCGCGGTGCCTTCATTTCCAGCTTCGTCACACTGTATGCATGGCGAAAACTACGTGCATCAATCAAACACGCAGCATAACCTTGTTTGGCTCGAGCTGCGTTCATTACCATGACTTGACTTGCGCCAGAATCCGTAACGTATGGGGAAAGGAATAGGTGGCTGAAGCTGCCCCGGACCTGAACTAGGTGGGATTGACCCCGTGTTGTTTTGCGTATGTGAAATCGACCCGTAAAACCAGCTGGCGTGTGCCAACCCCTTGGCTGTCTAACGTGCACAGTCTGTCAAGAACCGCGTAATTCACATAAATATATTGCGTCAGCTCACACGCAGGCAAATACGATGTCAAACTTGTACTGGTGTATTTAGCTTAGAACACGTAGCATGCATGGTCGTAACTTTTGAACAATGGTTGATGACTGGGAGGGCGAACCTATCGTTTTGCTGCGACCTGCGTTGTTGTGTAGTTTGTACAGGAAGACAGCAGCTAACTGAACAGTTAAGACTGGTAGGCTGCTCGGCATTCTTAGAGTACAATTATCTGAGGGGACCCATTACGTTAAACAAATTCCAGGACACAAAGGATGGATGCCGGTGATAGCAAACCTCCAAGATGGGAATCAGTAGACGCCACATGTACGTCTTTTCCACCCATGCAACACGATAAGGCTAATGTTATCAACGAAAGGCTAGCTTCTCCAGCTAATCCTCGTTTTCGTCGTCCCTGATAACGGCCTGAATCGACCTGGCGCGCTATGGCTGAGAAGGGACTGGAACTCCTTCCTGCATCCAAGCTGAAGCTTATTACATTATGTTTATAGCTATATTATTATGGCTTCTAACTTTTCGGCCTAAACTAAACACTTTTTTAAAAACAAGCTTAACTTATATCAATACTGCCTTCCGCATTTTTCGGGGCGTTTCAAAAAGCTTTCCGGTAAATGGAAGTGGCAGATAGCCACCAATGCCGGAAGTTTTTCGGAGCGAGAGGGTTCGGGACCCAAGGAGTCCAAAGTACAGTGCACTTGCAGATGGTTACAGATATGCACCATAGGGCCAATGTGAAAAACCACCAGACTTGGTACCCCCCCCCCCCCCTTTACCTCCCTTCCACAAGCTTCTCCCGAGGATCTCTAGTCATGGCAGTCAGCGTGGACGTGCCAAATTAAATCATTTCGGCACGGGGCGAGGCGAGACATACTCGTTATCCATGGCAGGATGTCCTAAACCAGCTCAACATCATTGAGTCAAGTGGACAGTGCGTGACGGTTTGCCGGCGCAGGCCCGGGCTTGGCGTGACGTGGTCCCGGGCTCGGCGTGACGTGATCCCGGGCTCGGCGTGACGTGGTCCCGGGCTCGGCGTGACGTGGTCCCGGGCTTGGCGTGACGTGGTCCCGGGCTCGGCGTGACGTGGTCCCGGGCTCGGCGTGACGTGGTCCCGGGCTCGGCGTGACGTGGTCCCGGGCTTGGCGTGACGTGGTCCCGGGCTCGGCGTGACGTGGTCCCGGGCTTGGCGTGACGTGGTCCCGGGCTAGGCGTGACGTGACGCATGGTCTGGCAGGCTGAAAATGATTAGCTGACGAGATATGAAGGTAGATACTATTATGTACGTGCATGCACTCACGGTTAACGTAAATTAGCCACATACTGCAAAGATATGACATAAGCGAATAAGTGACACATCATATCTAGACAGCGGCTAAAAGCGTCATGAGAACATATTCATCAGTACATCACGCATGATCTGTGTCGGTCTTTTGTCAGTCTGTGTCAGTTCATGTCGATCCGTCCTCTGTCGATTTGCCAGCTGTTTTTTTTTATCCCAATCGCCTGCGGAACGTATGCGATAATCTAAAACCGTACACTTTGAAACCCATTAGACAAAAACAAAGTCAGGCTAACGTAACTATAAAACATGACCGACGGCTGAATCCTACACAGCTTGCAAACAAAAAACTAATGACAGTGTCCGGCCACCCTCACTCGTTTATCGCAAACACACAAACACACCTTGAAGGCATCAAACAACTTTACAATAAAACTAAATCCACATGATCGCCTGGCTCGACGAAAGTAACAAACAAAACGACCACCACTAGCGGGTATCCGGCCGCACTCGCAACGCTGCTGCCATCTGGCGCCCATCAGCAACCCGGCGGGTGGCGTCAGCACCCCTGCCGTCCACGGCAGCGGTTGCCTGCAGGCGGTCAGTAGGAGCGGTGCCCGGCGTGCAGCGTCAGCATGCCCGCCGCCGCCAGCAGCGGGCGCCTGCAGGCGGTCAGTAGGAGCGGTGTCCCGAGGGCGGCAGCGCGTGGTAGCGGTGGGGTCCGAGTGAGTACGGCTGCGGCTCTAGCGGGGCCGCGTTCGGTGCGCGCGTGCTGCCGCTGCCCGTAGATGGCCGGCGCCGGCGCCGGCCGGTACAGGTCAGCATTGATGCCGTACTGCGACTGGGAAGCTGCGCAGTTGACGTTGAACCACCAGTCGCAGACGCGCGTGCGCTGCGAGTAGACGGTGCCGACTGGGCACACGAAGGACTGGCGGCTCACCCCGATGCCGCAGTAGTGCCAGACCTAGCGGAAGATACGGGGTCAC